AAAATCGGGAAGACACGTCCCCCCTCAGCCCTGTGGCTTGAGTGAGAACTGCTCCTGGATCACGGCTAATCCCTCGCTGCCCTCCTCTTTTCCACGCGAGCCACTCGACGCGCTGGAAGAAGGCACTTTTGTGAGTTGGCTGGACTTGGCCAGGGAGGTCAAAGATACAACGGGAGGTACAACAGGCTCGCGGTGGGGCGCACGCGGGAGCCTGGCACGATCACACAAACCTTGTGCCTTCAGGAAGCCAGGCTTAAAAAGCCAGCCATGAAACCTACAGCATCGTTATGGTGGGAGTCACCAGATGGAGCTGTTCCACGTCAGCTCACAAATTATTTCAATCCACAGGTGGATTTCGAGCGTTGCCTCCAGTGCCCTTCTTTCACCCCATCGCTGTCCCAATTTGCCCAGGCTGCGTGACAGGGAGAGCTGGTCTCCTGACACGTCTCTGCCCCTCAGGGGAGCGGGTGGCCAAGAGCAGGGTGCTCAAACCGTGCTAGGCTTTGCCCCAGAGAAAAAGCATGAGGCACACACGCCGCGCGCCCCGACACGCGACAGGGGAGAGCGCGCGGCAGACGGCTGCCCCTGACACGGACGACAGGTAAGCGGCCACCAGCGCACAAAGCCTGGGGCGTCCTTCTGGCGTGCCTGATACACGGCTGCGTTGCTGCTGTTGCAATCAGCCCAGAAATTTAACAGCCTTTAGAGTCTTTGGAGAGTTTCTTCCAAAATTAAACAGTAGAAACGCACCATCGTGAACACACCTACGTTGGCTCTGAATTGCAGCTAGAGTCAGACCTCTTTGAGGCCCGAGTGAGTGCCTCTGTGGTCCTGAGGGCTGCAGGGCTGAACTGGACGGGGTCTAATAGGACATTTTCATCCCTACGTCCTGATTCAGGAGCGGCCTGGCAGCAGCCAGAACACCCAGTAATACGTGCTTACTTTTGAAGGCAGATTGAATCCTGATCCTCCGGCTTCGGCTCACCCAGCAGCAGATAATGCTCTTGTTTGAACAGAAGTACTGTGGCAGATGAGTCCCATCCCACCGCTTCCTGAGGAGGACAGAAGAGATGTGTCAGTAGCATGGGAAAACCTGCCCTCTTTTCACAGTAATTATGTGTAATAACATCTTACGCATCCCCTTTCATCCTACAGCACTGTCAATGCCTTATCCAGACGAGACGCCCAGAAAACGCAGCTACCGCCGGAATAGAGCAAGACGACTTGTTTACAAGACAGACCACTGCTCCGCAGCAGCGGAGGGCAGGAGGAAGAGGAAGCTGCCGTCTCCAGGTCCAGCGCAGGCAGTTCAGAAAGGTGGCCTGCATTGTTCTAAATCAGGATAACGAGGCACTTCCGCGGCCCCTTTCCTATGGTAATCCCAACAGGTTGTTGTCTTCCCCCCCTGCAAAAGGGGAAGCGCGGCTGCGGGGAGGTTGAAACGACTCACCCGACTCACCCACCCGTCAGAAGCCCGCATTAAACAGGCGGAGGGAAGCCGCGGCTGCCTCAGCTTTTCAGCCCTAATTCTAACACGCCAGCCAAGAAAGCAACTCAGATTTCAGCCCAGTCCACCCCAACATCGCCCTGGAAGCTCCGCGTGCCCTGCATGGTGCTGAGCCAGAGGCTGAGCGCGGTACCTGCATCCCTCCCGCCTGCCTCCTGCTGTGCCAGGCCTCCTGTTAACCTCTGAAACCTGACCTAGCTGCACCCTGCTGCGCTTCTGGACCATCAAGTTCCTGTTACATCTTTCGCTCAGATGTCTGAATGACTGAAGCACGCGCAGAAATCTCCTTCCCTCCCAGGCCTGCAGCGTTCGGTCGCTGTTTACAGTCTCTTCTTCTTCCTCTCTCCACCTCTAGCCCTTTCCTCGCAATAGACCCCAGCCCTCACCTCTCCTTTCCGGGGCAGAAGCAGCAAAATCAGAGAAACCGCCCGAAAACGGGAAACAAGAGGCAGCTCCTGCACTGTAGAGTCTAGCAAGGAAAGCAAAAGGGGCCATCACTGGAAGATAATCACAACTGTGAGACCCAGGCTAAGAATTTTTTTTCTCTTAAGGAAATCAGGAGCCCAGCATCTCCTGATTTGAAGGGTATAGGAGACATGGGAAAGACGCCCCTTGTCCTGTGGAGATGCCTCTCTCCCCATCGACTGCAGAGGGAGCCCGGATAACCAGTTAATGCTTAGGCCTTGTCCAGACGGAGATACCGTCCCTTCCCCTCCCCTCCCCTCCGAGTCCCAGGAGGAGATAAACGCAGCTCGACTCCCCCGAGCCACCCAGGGCTCTGCCGAGCCACAGGCCGCAGATGGGCGCATGAGAGGGCACAGGCCCCACAGTTCCGGCCCAGCAAAGCAAAGACCTGGCTGGGGCACACCAACATGCTCTCCCGAGCCTTGTTCCTGCCGTTTTCGCCGCGTAGACAGCAAAGCTTAAGAAGGAAAGAAGGCATTGCTGTAGACCTGGATCTCATCAGGGTCTGGCTTTGGGCATAGGTGGGGTGCCTGCCTGCTCCCACGAGTGGGGGACTGCTCCTGCATCCCACAGTTTAGGTACAACCCCAGATAATTAACTTTTGGACACCCAAAGGAAAGAATCAGTCTTAAAACATTTTGCTGGCATGGCGATGAGAGTTAGAGTCGAGTATTTTTAGCCAGGGATTCTGGCTGAAAGCGTGGCCTTGGGGATAAAGGGAGAGGAGGCCATGGGACAAAAGGGTGTTGGCGCTTTTTCCAGCATAGATTATTTGGCTTTGGGTACTGGTAAAAGTTACACTAATAAAAGGCCTCTTTTGTGTGCAGGCTGTATCTACAATGGGAGTGTTTGCTGGTATTGCCGGATCATATATCAGTAACTTTTTAAGGGCAGACAAGGCCATCGGAGAGGAGGGAGAGGTAGCACCGTGGCTGTTGGGGTCGGAGTTTCGCAGCGGCGAGGCTCTGAGGACTTTTGCATGACGGGGATTAGCCCTGCGGCCTTTGCGAAATACCAAAAACGCCTCAAACCAAAGGGCCCGTCACCTGTGCTGGACCCAGGATTTTCTGTCGCCGCCTGAAAGCGGCTCTGTTGGCACGTCAGGCCAGAGCGCCCTTCTGAGTCACGCAGGCGGCGAATAACGAGCGCGATTCAAAGGCAGCCCGTTCTGCTGGCAGGCCCGAAGGGTACTGCGCCCGGTCCCCCGGCGCCCTGACCGCTTCACACGCTCTCCTTCTGCCACGGGAAACATGCCTTCCCTTTTTGCCCGCTGCGACTGCCGGGCTTCGCTTCCCAGTCGCTATCACGAGACACACGGGACAGCTTTCGGGGCCGTTGAGGTCTGTCTCTGCAGGACGCCGGGGCGCCCTCGTCCACGGCAGACCCCGAGGGGCTGTGCCCGGTTCCCCGTGAACGACATTTTCTGCG